GTATGTATATATAGATTCATATAGTTTATGTTCTTTTTAAGTAGTTTTTGATTCTTTTTGGCATATCCTGATTGGTTTTTTTCTTATGAAAACTCTTAGGTTGGGAATGATAGTAAGAGGAGTTAAGAAAGCTAACATTTAAAAAAACTCTTGGGAAGGCTTCATGTTTAACTAATATTGATCATTTATATTAAGGAAATAATTTATGTGCTCTACAAATATAAAATTGGCTTTCTCACAGACAGTTAAAATTACGAATGTTTATTGTGATCAGTTGCTACTAGGTTTTTTTTTTTTTTTTTTTTTTTTTTTGAGACGGAGTTTCACTCATGTTACCCAGGCTGGAGTGCAATCGTGCAATCTCGGCTCACCGCAACCTCCACCTCCTGGGTTCAGGCAATTCTCCTGCCTCAGCCTCCTGAGTAGCTGGGATTACAGGCACGCACCACCATGCCCAGCTGATTTTTTGTATTTTTAGTAGAGACGGGGTTTCACCATGTTGACCAGGATGGTCTCTATCTCTTGACCTTGTGATCCACCCACTCGGCCTCCCAAAGTGCTGGGATTACAGGCTTGAGCCACTGCGCCCAGCCTTGCTACTAGATTTTTATTTGTGGTTGGTTTTTTACTAAAGCATAGCAGTATATCTATTTTTAGTTAATAGTCTGCAGAAGGCATTCTTATTTACAATAGCACATAGGATTATTTTAAACTAATCATGATTTTTTATGAACATTTGATCCCATAACAGTTCTGTGGAATACCTTCAATTACTATAAATTTACTTTTATGTCTGTTGTTTTGCCTCCTCACTGTTTCTAGTTCAAGTTATCTCATGAACTATGACTAAGGTAAAGAATAACATTTTTGTTGCTTTCAAAAGATTACATCAAATATGGACTCCGTGGGTCGAATACAAATGCGAACAAGACGTACACTGAGGGGCCACCTAGCTAAAATCTATGCTATGCATTGGGGATACGATTCCAGGTTTGTACCTGTCATTTTTAAACTGTCACAGAATTATTTTCATTAAGAATCATAATTTGCATTTTCTTTGCTTAAAAACAAACTATATTCATGAAGCGTTTGTAGGAAGTGTGTCTCAAATGAACATGCTGCTTTCACTAAGAATATTCATTGACTTTTTAAGGGATTCCAGGACAACTGTTTAGAAGAGGATTTCTTTTCTTTGCAGTAGGACATTGCAGACATTGTTTTTCAAATATGCCCAAAGCATTCTTACTGTATATTAACCTTGAAATTTCAGTTAATGAGCAAATATTTATTGAACATCTTCTATGTGCAAGTTATTGGATATTGCTATAATTACTTATTACATAAATTCACACATAATGGAAATTATATGAAACAAAGATATTTTTATTGAATACATCCTTTACTCTCTTGACTCCATCACAGAAAGGTGTGTGCTTGAATGTGCAAGTTGGCTGTCTGCAGGTGTACAGGCGCACACACAGCTGCCACCTGGCCTGCAGTTAGGCAGATTGGTCACCACTACCATTCACTACGTGTATAAGGTTACAGTACCGCCTATGCTTTTACCATTGTCTGGCAATAGCCAGTGTATCTGCTGCCACAGTGGTTTACTTGTTCCTTTGATTTGGTTAATCTTAATGGGAAATGTCTAAACCAAGAAACTTCTGTTTTTTAATAGAAGTTGCTACTCCAGCTCTCTCCTGTTTATTTTTTATTTTTAAAAGAAAAAATCCAGATGAGGATAAAAGGAAAAAATAAAAGAAGTTAAACATTTATTCTCTTATCCTAAGAGACACTAAAATTGTAAAGTAAGAAGCAGCCTCAGTTGTTACTCTAATTGGGATACTTGACCACAATCATATAGAAAATGTGTGTCTTAGGAAGGGGTACATAAAATTATATAATTGACAAGTGACATAAAGCTAGGCCAATTGTCTTATTCTTATTCTTTTTTTTTTTTTTTTTTT